ACATTAACGAAAAAAAAAATTGTTTCCCGAGTTTCTAATTTCGTTATATCTTGATCTCTTCCCTAAAGTTTTTTCTCTATTTTATCCAAGATTTCTTAATATACATACATGCATACATGTTAAATATGTACTGGTGTATAAATTTAAAGATTGAAATCTACAAAATGTTAAATCAGGGAAAAAAAAAACTGAACAGAAAAGAACCCATGAGTAGTTGCCTCGTCATTACTTGATACCTACATATATATTAACCAAAACAAAATTGTGATATCTTTTAAAAACGATGTCTTTTCTATGATACGATCTGCCCGATCACAAAATGCAATCTGATCATAAATTATATTTTTTAAAATAAGTTGTATACAATTGTTTGTTATATAAGAAATATAAGTTGCACGAAAACATACCTATATATGCAATTATAAGAAAAATTTATGCATAATATGAATTTGAATAGCTGTAGTTTTTTTTTATTTAATAAAAAGCAAACAACAAAAATTAAAAATTCACAAAACCACCCAATAAAAATAAAAATGACATTAAGCTCCAACGCCGGTGCAATTGTTGTCATTATTTATCACTGCGCGGTAATGCAATTAAAATCAAACAAATAAAAATAAAATTGCAATGAAAATGCCATAAAAATGCCATGAAAATAGAATGAAAATGATCTTCCTGTTAAAATTTCTATGATAGAATGATTGTTATCAAGAGGGTAAAGATCTTGACTGTGACATTGTCATTCCACATTGTTGTCATAGATTATTGTTTTCTTTTCGTTTTCATTCTTCAGTTATGTTTTTATTCTGTACAAAAACTGTTTTTGTTTTTGTTTTTTGTAAGTACGTGTAATTCGAGGTTTTAATTTACAAATTAATTTGTACAAGATGTTTAAATGGTGTAAAGTTCAAAAATGTGCAAATTATTATATAGTGAACTTTTTCCCTAATTTTACAACACTTATTAATAGCGTTATATGTTTTCCGATTGTTTGTTTGCTTTTAATCTTAGAATTAATATTTGAGTCGCTTATAACAAATCAATCTCACTCTCAAATATATTACAGAAGCTTAATATCGAAAGCAATACAATATTTTCAATTAGATCTTACACAACTTCGCAGGGCAAGGAGAACGACAGCGTATTTCAAAAAATTACTAAAATATCAGAAAGAAAATTAGGTATATGAGTTCGAAGCCAAAATATTTTTACCATGTAAGTGTTTTTGAAAACTTTATTCTCCCTTTTAAAAAATTCTATATTGTGCTTGTATGTTTCTTCATTATCACATATTTTTAGCTAAAAAGTATTGACATTCAAATTAATCAAATATGTGGACTGTATTGAAACATCTTTTGAAAATAATTTTTTAAAATTATTTTATAATACAATTATAATAAAACTTTATGTGAGCGAAGATATAAACAATGAATTGGAATTTAAATTGAATAAAATTATATAAGGAATTCCAAACCACCTTCCTCTGCTAAGCAGAAAATTTTTGTGCTGATATATCAGAAATAAAAGATCCCATCAATAAAGGACTCTTGTTGTTACTTGTATTTTTTTGTTGCACTCGTGTGTGCGTTTTGAAGATTTTGTGAAATCGCATCTTCTGATTGCATTTTTTTTATTTAATTAGAGTAACTTGAACAATACTGAGTAATAATCTCATAAAAATTTTAATTATTTCATTTGTATTTCCCAATTTGAACGTAAAACTACTTTAATGTCCTTGATAAAGTGTTTTTATTGACATCTAATATCTATAGCAGAAAACAAGAAGGTTTTGCTAGGTGTTAAAATTTCGAATATTTGCACATGTGTTTTTTATTTCGAAAAACTCTTATTTACAAAATAAAGCCAAAATTTTTCGTAAACAAGTTGAAATATAACTTTAAAAACAATTTGCTACATTATTTAAATCAAAATACATCCTTTTTTGGCATACATTTATTTTGAGTATCGAAGGGTGATAACTTGAGAGGGAGTGAAGGTAGAAAAACAAAATTTTTTTTTACGAAATAATGTTTTTTAGTATATAAATGCTACTAATTTAAGGCTCCTACAGGTTGCTCTTTAGTGTTAATTTTTTTCTGGAATTCATCAGGGAGAAAAACTCAAAATTCATGCTTGCATACATATTCATGACTTATGTTATGCCATGTATTAAAAATCGAGTGCCACTTCCGTTTCAATATTCATAACTCCTATGTGATACAAATTTACTTTCCTGGTTCACTTTTTTTTTTAATCATTGTTTTATCGGTGTCTTATTAGTGGGGTGGTAGTAAATGAAAAATGATGACAATTTATGATGACGATAGAATAAAACAAAATGAGACGATTGAATATTTGAGATAAGAAAGAGAAGTAAAAATTTGATATTCGTTCTATTAAAAAAAATTCTTCTGCATTAGAGCGCAATATAATATAGAATATTGTTGTATTCTAATTTTCTGTCAGATCAAATAAATCGATTTAAAATTGTAGTGACTACAACTTGTTGATTCTTAAAACATTACATGGAAAATAATAATGGAAAATAAATATTAAAATCATTTGTAATAAATAATTCAGCTGTTCTTGCGGTTGCTGTTTCCTAGGCAGCAGTGGAGGTGACTTACATACTAGAGAATGGACTGATAGAGAGGCCTACATATTCATGATAAATATAAAGCTTTAAGCTATGTGCAGAATGTTTTTGGGAAAAAATATTGTTGAGTTGGGTTCTTTCTATATTTAATATAGGAATTAGATTATAGTCAGACATAAATCTTCTCAATAATTAGCTTTATTTGCTAAGTAAGAATCCAAGAAGAAATACTTGTTTCTATAATTAAACAATATTTGCGTTTTTATAATTTAGTATCCGTGAATTCTTGTTCTTTAGTAAAACACATTATTAATAAATTTATTAATATTAAATTGATTATTACATAAATAATCAATTTAATATTAATAAATTTATTAATAATGTGTATAAAAGGTATGCAAAATGGCATACTAACAAGAAAGTTATTTTAACAGCAGCATCATTGCATACAATAACTGAGTTTTATTTTGATGACCTTACATTTATGATGCATCTCTCCAATGAGGAATTCCATCACATAGGAAATGATCGGTTCTAAATTTTTGCTAATTTTCAAGAAAATAATTGACCAATTATAGGAAAATTTTTGGAAAGTATCAATTAAACTCAATGATAAAATTTTGGGGGAAAATTTAATTTCTAAAAAAACTAATTTGCAGGTATATTATAAGGGCTCATATAGCTTTTTTGAAATTCGAAATAAGTGTTCCAAAAACTATACTTTTATAATTTTGTAAAATATTTTCGCTATAGGTTAATTGGAACTTACAATTAAAATAAAGTTGGGTCAAACCAATGGTTTGTATTGTAGCACTTTTCCCTTCAGCAAGTGAAAATTCTGCTTTTAAATACAGTCTATGTATACCTATCAAACTATTAAAATTATTTTCATTCATATACAAAACTATTTCTAGAATTGCATATATTTAGGATGACGCATATATGCAGTGTTTGAAATAAAGCAAAAATTAATATAAAAAGGGGTTAACATAATGCTCGATTTTAAGGTTTAATTATGTGAGTTAAGAAAAATAATTATATTTTTTAATTTCATGGAATTTACCGTTAGCTTTTTATGTTTATAGAAATTTGAAAAAGCTTGCGGTTTCGGAAATATAAGGTGTCAAAAATTCAAATTTTACAAATTTCAAGAGGCCATAACTTGAGAGGGGAAGGAGATGGAAAAAAATTTTCTTCTAACGAAATGAACTATTTGTTAATGTCTAAAAGCCCATAAAATTTCAAGCTTCTACAGGCTGGGGTCTAGAAAATAAACGACATCAAAAATTTGGAAAAAACGGACTTTAGATAACGGTAAATTTGAGCGGCCATTTTGTTTTTCTAAAGTTAACCTTTAGTATACCCCGCTAGGGGAAGTAAGCCACTGCCTTTCTGCGTTTGCAAAATTTGAAAAATCCTTATGGTTTCATTGCACTAAATAGTTAAAGAATGGCATTTTTAGGGTTTTGTGGGGGTATAACTTCTAAAGGGGGGGAGATAGGTAAAAATTTTGTTCCACGAAAATAAGTTTCTAGTAAAAATCTATGTACGTACAAAATTTCAGCTTTCTATCTTCAAGGGTGTAGAAGTTTTGTAAACAGACACACGGACGGACGGACGGACGGACGGACGGACGGACGGACGGACGGACGGACAGAGTGAAACTAATAAGCACTTTTTTTTCAAAATTTTTTTGGAAAAGTGCTAAAAAAGATGTACAATTCGATCGGTTATCTTCTGACCCACATCAGATTTTTTTAATAATTTTTTATTTTCGAAAATAAGGGAAAAACGAATACAATATTCAAAAATTTTTTTCTCCTTTAAACATCATAGAGCTATGTGAAGTTTAATATAAGATCAAATCAAAAGATTTTATGAAATTAAGTTTATAAATTGTAATTTACATAAAACCTTAAATATAAATTTTAGAATAAAATTTGGAATTACTACTTTAATTTCCTAACTAAAATGAAGCTTATCTCTTACTCTTATTGAGTATCAACGGGTAGGTTTCAAGAAAAATTTTAACTGATTTGATTAATTCGATTTTTATTTGTACATTTTAAATTTGAAATGTTAGCAATCATTATTTTAATTTTAAGTTAGTCAAAATTATTACGGTTTCTTCAATATTAAATTTTAATTCCTTTCTAATTTTTTTGTCCTTTTACGTTCTGAATACTTTAAAAACGCTTTTGTATTGATTTGACATATTGGATATTTTATCTGAATCTATTGAGCTTGTCATAACTTTAATGCATTAAATTCTTTTTTTAGTTAAAATAAAAATTTTTTATTCTGTATAGAACAACGTAAAATGAATAGAAAAAAAAATTAAATTTCGTTTCTATTTTTTCAATAAATTAAAAGAAAAAAAAATTATTTTTTCTCTGTATTATAGATTTCGTTTCTGGCAATGGGGGCGATGGATTGAAATTCGTGTTGATGATCGTCTTCCTACAAGAGATGATAGACCTGCCTACATGCATTGTGCTCAGCCAGATATATTTTGGGTCGCATTATTAGAAAAAGCATATGCAAAGTAAGTAGATGTAGGTAATATTAAATTTTATAAGACAAAAGAAAAATTGCTATTCTAAATTAAAATAAAAAAAAAAATGAAAGCAGGAATAGTTTTTGGTTTTTGCCATTTTTTTAATATTTTTCCAACGATAGCTTACGGCTTGACTATTCATATACATACTATCTTATACCAATCATATAAATGAAATAAAATAGTAATGTTATAGTAAATTGTAATGTTAAGATTAAATAAGAATGTTTAAGCATTTAGACGAACGCATTTGTAATATTACGTTTAAACTTATGTCGAAGAATGATAAAAATTTATAGTTGGTCTGAAAAACTACTATGAATCTACACAAAATAGAAAGCAATATTACAGCTACTTTATAGGTGTCTTTAAGCAGCTGAAAATAAGATGTAAGTGTTTTTCTTTGAATTTTTGAACGTTGAACGTTGGCTCTTAATAAATCATCGTTTAGTTGGTCAGAAATCATAAAATTCTTTATTTTTCAGTTAAAAAATATATAAACGGAAATTCAAATGTATAATACCAAGAAAAAAAATTCAAAAAATAAGTATTTTAATATGAACCTGCAGTAAAATGTGTAATAAGATTTGGTTAACATATGCCGATACTTGAATTTAAGAACAGTAATAAAAAGTGATTCTAATAGGGGAAAATATAAATTTTTTTTTTTTAGAATTTTTTAAACTTTTATTACAATTTCGTTTTCACAATAATTTTTTTTACAACATACGAGTAAAAGCAGTGCTACTCAATTCTGCTATTTTTTGCACGTAAAAATAATGATAGTTTTTTCTAAATGCATTTGAATAAGTAGAATCTTTAGTATCGAATATTTTTTAACCGTACATATACGTACCCGCATTTCAATAGCTTTTCATTAGCTTGTTGAAGGGATTTTAAAAATTTAAATTTTGCAAATTATTTTTAAAAATCGTTTTAAAAATTATGAAATTTTCCTGTCCGTCACATTTAAATTAATTTCTATCCAATACTACAGTAGAACTATTTGAGAAGAGCTTCAACTTGCAATGATATTAAATTTCTATTAAAAATGGGAGAATATTCTCATTTTTCTCATTTATTTCTCATATAAGCTGCAATATAAAGGATTAAATTTGAGAATCTTTTTAAAATATGTTTTAAATATAAATTTTTTTTTCTTTTGTTAAGTAGAAACGATTGCTTGCATAAGTGCTTAAGTATAACTTTTTATGTTTTTTATGGTTTGATTCAAGATTATATGGTGGATATGCATTTTTAAAATACGGTAATATTGGACGTGCAATACAAGATTTAACGGGAGCTGTTGTTCAAAGTGTACCACCAAGTGCACCATTATTGGGTGGTGCTGTACCAAGATCAACTTTATTGTTAGCAATATCAGGAAATGTAAGTTTTGTATATCCATATAATATAATAAAAAAAAAAAAAATTGATTTTGGAAATAAAAAAAAAAATCTTTTTTACATATGTCTAGGACATATTTATTTTTATACTAAGGACATATTGCGCCTAAGGCATATTTTGTAAACGATAAAATAAGGTTATGGGTTTTTTTTATTGTTATTACTGTGAATATTATTGTAAATATGAAATTTTATTGAAGAAATAAAGAAAAAAATCGGTTTTTCAAATTTAGAATCGGAATGAGATAAAAAAAGAGGAAAACTATACTTACTATTTACAAACAGAAGAGCATAATATATATTAGTGCATTTATTTAATACTTTAATATTTCCGCATTTTTTTAAGTTCATTGGGTCAGAAAAAATCTCGGTGATTCTTTCATATTTTAGAAAATATATTAATATTGTGTACAAAAAATTATACATATACATAAACGTATTCAGATTATTTTATAAATTTGCAATTTGTAATTTTTTACGGTATTTTTTATATGCTTACATAATAAATATAAATTTTATTTCTTATATTTGTGCGTTCTTGATATTAAGAAATTTTCGTTTTACCAAAGACCTCAAAGACTTGTTTAAATATAATCAAATCTATTTCTTATTCCTGAACTAGCTAATTATATCGCATAAACGAATATTCCAAGGGTATTATAAAATTATCAATCCATTTGTAACACTAAGAAATAGAGATTTGAAGATAAAATGTACAGCTATATAATATTTGTATATATTATTGCTTAACTTTCTATTCCGAGTCAGCCTTACAAAATTTTTACAAGTTGCTTAAATTAATCAATACAAAACATTCTCAAGTAGTTTGTTTTCGATTGAACTCCATTGATTAAATTCACAGTATTTCTAACTGAATGCTTTTTAAAATTATCCATGTATCATGGAACATTATCCAGTACATACAGTATTAAAATATGTGGGAGTGTCCCGGATTTTTTCTTTAAAAGTTGTCAGTTTGGTCTAATTGTACAGATCTGATAGCTCCTTTCAATATAATGTTAGAACAAAATCCTACTTCGTGGATTTCCTAGAATGACTTATGTGAATTCAGTTATAAACTGTTCGAAAATAATTGATATGTGACGTTAATTTGAATTATTGGAGCTATTGGTGGTGTGATATTTATATTTCCGGAAGAGAAAAGAGAAAATATCAAAGTGAAAATTTTTTATTGGAAAAAAGGCCCAAATTATTATATGAGAAATTAAAAAAATGAAGTTTTTGGAGCAAGTACGTTTACCAAGAAGCTTACCGCAAACACTGAAAAATTGGTACATAAATCTTGGATTGGTATAAAAAATTGCAATACTGGCAAATTGAAAAAGAGAAAAGGGAACTTAAAGTCAATAGTTTTTCAATTTCGAAAAAATAAATTTGCGGCTTCAACAGTGACAAGGCCTTTATTTCCATTTAATTAGGTTCTTATTGTATGAATTCTTATAATGGGCCTATAATAATAACATCATTAAAAAAGTTGCCATGTTCAAATTTTACACACAAACAGATTTTAGTTATTTAGCTGCAATGCAATTTCGAAAACAATTTTACCAGAATCAATTCAAACTATTTAATGATTTAATTTCATACGAACAATTTAAAAAACGGGACCATATTCTAAAAAACAGGATTAGTAAGGGCTATATAATTTCTTTTGTCAGTCGACAAACAATTCTTGGAAAAATTCACATTGAAAATTTTTTTAAGAAATACTTGGCTTAAGTAAATTTTAAATAAGAATATTGCTTATTCTAGATGAGCCACTTTAAGCATTTGTCTATTATAGCATTCAAGTAAGAGATAGATTTGCAATGCAGTTCTGCAATAAAAATGCGGTGTAATTGTTTTTGTAATTACCCTTATAACTTTTGATAATTAGGAAATTTTGTGTGCCAATATGACTGTTATAATATAAAGCTTTGACAATATGAACCTTTGTTAGACTGTTTCAAAAAATTTCTATGAAATATTTAGTTTTATGATTTTATTGAATTTAATTTAAATTTATAAGATAAAAAGTGAAATGATGAATAACGTGTCTACTGCAGCTTGATAAGAATTCTTTGGTGAGAGATATTTACAATTTTTGGAAAGAACAGCACGAAAATATTGAATTTGCAAATTTAGGCTGTCAGAATTTTCTTGATAAACTTTATGCGGTATGGTAAATAAAAATTGTCGATTTTGATTTTCGTTTTGTTTTTCACACATTTTCGAGCACACATAAATAAATTGAAATATTAACGCACAAATTTGTTTTTGTGTTTCGCCTAAACATATGCAATTAATCATTTAAAATCTTTTACATTTCTTGACAATTTCTATTCGAAGTACATAAATTAAAGATAGTAATTCTAAAATTTTTCCGAAAAATTCATTTAAATATTAAATAAGTGATAATGGGAAATTTATGTTTAGATTTAACAAAACAAATTTTTTACAGTAGAGTTTCAGATTTTTAACTATCTCTTTCTATACTGCTGTGCCATTAGAATAGTGGGATCATAAATCATTTTAAAACTTTTAAAAGTTTCATGAAACAAATTATTATCATATTATGTGTTCAAGAAAAAATTACAAAATTTCATTTTAAGCTGTTAATTACGACTGTATAAAATTTCTTTTTAAATCCAAATGTTTTTACCACCAGCCATTTACATTGTACTTTGATCATTAATTCGTTAACTTGTTTTTTGTTTTTGTGATAATATTTTATTACAAAATTTAAAGTTAAAAATTTCATATTTCTTCACTTTGTTTTTCTCTAGGATAAAGGTACAAAACGTCGCAGGACTGGCGGTCTGTTACCAGAACATCCATACTGTGTTACTGGTTTAGCAAGAGTACGTACAACAACAAATAGTGAATCATCAGAACCAGGTAGTAGCAATATTGTAGCAAATCCAAATGATACAAATCTAGTAAGATTACGTAGCCCATGGGCTGGTGGAGAATACGGTGGGGTTTGGCGCGGTGCATGGTCTGAGAAGAGTTGGGAATGGAATGCATTAAATGAAAGAGATCGAGAATTATTAGCATCAAGATCGCAACATGAAGGTGAATTCTGGTAAGTTTTTATTTTTATTTATTTTTTTGAATAAAACTTGTATGCAAATTCATTTAAATTTTATCAGAAGATCAGATGAAAACTGTTCTATAATATAATATGGTACCACCTAAATAATATTTAAAATATTTAAAGAGAAGAGCGCAAATAATATGAAAAAAATTGTAAGAATAATGAATTAAAATGATATTGAAATGATGAAGTCTTTTGTTCTTCTTTTCTTTGTTATGAGGAAAAATTAATGCATACGATTTGGGCCTTATTTAAGGAAGCTACTCTAAAATAAAAGAAAAGACCTATATATTGTTTTTTTATTTTTTTTTGTCGGAAGATCAAAGAATGAAAAGAAAAATTAAATAAAGTAGAATGATTATAGAATACCAAACCGAAATAAATGAGGATTATTAAATAGATTTTAGCTGGAAGAGAATTTTTGTTTTGAATATTCATTCTAATCTAAATTCTATAAAAACTTTCAATATAAAAAAACACATATTTTATTTTATTTTATTTGAGATAATAAGGGATAAAATATGAGATTTATGGCGTATAATGGTAGTGAGATTAAAAATATAAAAAAAAGTAATTTTAAAAAGCCGTTCTTCTTCCTTGCTTTCAGTTAGTTGTAGGTTGAGGTTATGTAGCATCAAAAATGAAATCAATTTGTTGTGATTAAGGAAAATAAAAGATTTATTTTCATTATTATGATAAAATCTAAAATTATTAAAGGTGGTAAAGGAATTTTGGAAACGAAGCGCATTTTGGAAAATTATTTTGAAAACCCATTTAAATTTATTTAAAATACTTTAGAGATTATTTGCTTTATTTTATAGATATTTCAGACTTAGAGTTTAAGATTTTTGGAACCATTATGCATTTTTGTATTAGTTTTGAGCTCAAATCAATTAATTTATTAGTTAATCAATTAATATATTAGTTAGCTGACAGATGACAAATGACAGCTGATGATAAATGACAGGTGACACATGACACTTTAAAAATTAAAAATGCAAGAGAGTGATAACTTGTATTATTTTCTTGTAGAGAATTAGTTAATAAAACAAAACAACCTTTGAAATAGGTACTCTTATTTTTGCGATTAAATGAGCTATTCGGGCTCCAAATTAATATTTTAAAATTTAAAAAAATAAAAATGCAATAGATAATTCATATAAATTTTTGTAAGTACTAGCTTATTTGATGGCACTAAATTTCGGCGGGTAGTGGAAAGTACGTTGGTCTGGTTGTTTGTCTGTGTATACGCATATAATTCAAGTTTGGCTGGGTCGATTTTGATTATCAAGTTTGGCTGGGTCGATTAATATATCGGACCTCGGGAAATGAATCTTTTACCGGATCGATTTTAGATTTTCGCGCACATAAAGAGAAATATTCAGGCAATTTCCTTGAAATTTATTATTTAAATTTGGAGTCGGTAAAACAACGAAGCTCGGTAAATTTTTTTGAGAGATCAAGGTTAGAAAACCGAACTTGGGACTGATTTTACATTTTTTACTATTTCTACGGAACTATTTGATGAAATTTCTTGACATTGAGATGAATCATTCAGAGAACTCGAAGGGCGCAAAGCGAAGCTCTACTAAATTTACATTTTTCTAGGAATTCAAAACAAAGGCTTACTAGCGTTCTTAAAATTGGGAAGAAGTGTTTAAAAGCATGTGTAATTTCCTTTTTCGCAAGAAATTCGAAAGTTTACCGCTCTGCTTCTAGTGTATAATAATAGGATTGATAGGCATATTTCTGCATTCTGTTATGCGCTGAGTTCTTAGTTGTTTTAGCAATAAATAAATGTGTACATATAGAAACATCTGTCAGTGCGTCCCAGCACTTACTCTTAAGTCACCATAGTTTTTTTTTAACTGTAATTCGAAGTGGCAAATTCAGCTTAACGAAATTATGGAAAAAGTAATTTGAGCGGAAATAACAGATTTAAAGCTATGGGGTTTACCTCCACATAAGTGCTCAGTTAAAGCTGTATGGTTAATTTTATATCAATGATTCTTTTTATAATTTTTTCCGTTTTCATGTACATTTTGTCATATTGTTTATACGATAAAACTCAACTTAATACACAGTATATTTCACAAAGCTTAAACGTGTAGAAAATCTATTTCAGTGTGCTATTTTAAAAAATAAAATCAAAAGTTAATCATTAATTAATTAATGTATGAATATTTTATATTACATAAAACTTTCTTTTTTAATATTATAAATTTTTTAATAGTACTATATGATTATTTTAAAAACTTGACGACCTATAATATACTTGTAGATTATTTGTAGGTCTTAACCTACAATAATTTTCACTTAAATTATATTACTTTTCGTATGAACACTTTTTGTTTTGTACTTTCACTATAAAATTGTTTTCCATTCCTTCAATCAATTTAAATTGCAAAGATGATTTTATTATGAAATTAACTAGGGTGATGATGAAGAATAAAAAAATTTATTTTTACAGCCATTCATCAAATTCCAAAACGAAATGAAATGAAAACGCTTAAAAAAAGACCAAAGAAAATCCAAATAGGTTATTATTGGAGTCAAATTTAAATTCCGATCTGTGATTAAAACGCAGACATTTTTAAGATGAGATGAAAATTTCAGGGTGAGATTTAAATCTTTCTGCGAAAGAATTTATTGATTGTTGATTTCAATTTCAATGTAATTGAAAATAAATTACGGAAAGTTACGTGATTTTTTTTTAAATTTTAACAACTTGGTTGTAGTTGAAATTTTTGTTATTATATTTAATATATATGTATATGTGAACATGAAATTATGTTTAGACATAGGTGAGAAAATTGTTTGAAAGTGAATCAATTCTGAAGTTAGGAGTCGCTCCAATAACTGTGATAATAAAAGAATATGTGAATTCTGCTTAGTTCCTTTCTTTAAAATTCTAACGGCAAAAAAAATATAGGTGTATAGCAAGTACACATATCAATAACAAGTGTCATTGGTAAAATGTAGCATTGTAGATTTATAGTGCTTGTATAACAATATTTGAATAAGAACTCAGGAGTAATTCGTTAATTATTTACATTGATTAATGACTATTTTTTCTGTTCTATAGTTTGGAAGTTCCAAGTTACATACGACATCAATTCTTTGTAACATAGATTCATGCAAATATGTAAATGCAATTTTAAAATGCAAAATACGTGTATAATGTTCTTTACGGCATAAATAGTGAAGGTTTCCTTCAACTAAGAGGAAAACGGATGAAAAAAACTTAAATAGGATTTCCTGCTTTGCATAAGCTGTGTGTGTCTTCCATTAGTCGATTGAGTTCTTGATTTCACTTTTTTCCTAGTTGGCTGACGCGTGTTTTTCTCGTTATTTCTTTTTGGGCTATTATGTGCTTTTTGGTTTTTCTTTTGAAGCACCTTCAGAAAACCTTTATTCCGACGACGGTTAGTATTTTTTGAGAAAGTGCTAAATCTATTAATTTCGTCAATTTTGTGTTGATTTTGAGTGTTGCTCTTATTGCCAGTAGTCATTTTTTTCTGATTTTGGTTGGTAAAATGGTTCAATTTCTCATAGCTCCAAGAATAATTATTGGTTCTTACTTGGCACCCTGAATTACGTATGTTGGGCGGATCACAGTCTACTTGTTTTTTTATTTTGTACCTATTATTTTCGTTTCTATAAATTATATTTCCTTTGATTCCAATTTTGTTGTTACGATTTCTGTTTTGGTTACCTTTATTCCTGCTGCTTTGATCGACATTCTCGTTATTACCGTTTTCACCGTTACCATTACTGTTACTACTGCTTCCTCCATTATTGCCTCCGTTATTACTGGTTCCATCATAACAATTTCCATTATTACCACCTCCACCATTACCATTGCCGTTGCTACCATTCCCTTGCGTTGCATTCTTTACTATATTAAATAAATTCCATAGTGTGTGATTTTTATCACGAATACCTGTGTTCACATGAACAAATATTTTTCCAACATCAACTTCCACCCGAGTATTAAGATTACGAGATTGATGTAGTCTAGTCAAATTCTCAGCAGGTGATCTACGAATTAAATGATGTCGTTGAGCTACTGTGAGATTTGATGAATTTACAAGATTATGTTGATTTTTATAGTTTTCATCAATAGTCATTATATTTTGACCTTTGTTATGATCAATTGACAAAATTTTACTAATTTGAAATTTGTTAGTATCTTTAAAATTTTGAATTTTAGTGCTGGTGACCTGAAATGGTTGTAAAGGTTATTGATACAAGTGCGGTAATAGAAAACTTACCCTACCATTTTTTAGTTTAGGAATTGATAAATCACCATTTGGCGTGGAATTTTCGGTAATATTGTTGATATGCTTAAATGCAGCGTTCAGATTCTCAATAGTCGACTTAGTTTGGGTCATATTATTTGCATTAGGTTCGAACTTCGTTTTGTTGCTTTCGGAATTCAAATATTTTGTGTCCATTTCAATTGTTTTGTTGATTGTGGTATCACTTGTTTGCAACTTTTCCCTTTCTGTGGTATTCAAAGGTTTAGTATTAATATGAATTGATACAAGTGATATTTTTTCTGTTGGATTGGAAAAAGGAATATTCAGCTCTTCCACACTGCTATTTGATTTTACTTTCTCATCGTTGTTTTCAATTTTTTCGGTTCCAATTATTGGAATATTTGTTGTGGTATCCAGTTTTGAAAATTCTGTACTAGCGAATATTTCGCTATTTTCTCCAATTTTGTAAGTTCCTGTTGTGTGATGTTCATAATGTTCAGTATTAAGTTGTGTAGTGCTTTCATTGTCATCAAAGGATCTACTCGTGTTCATGGTACTTTTTAAAAAATTGTCACCCTTCTCCTTCTTTTCAGGAATTGAATCTTTTGAGTGTTCTGATTTTTGATGGAAATCATAACCCCCATTCCATAAAATTGATTTAACATCACTTAGTAATGGTTTTGCCATTTCTAGATGTTGTTGTGAATGTTGTTTCAGGAACTCCATTAATTCTTTCTCAATTGGTGACAATTTTCTCGTCATATTATTATTTTCTGTTGTAGTGGTGAATACCATTTTCCTACTATTAAATTTTTCCAAGTCATAGAAGTATTCGCCAGCGCTTAACGTAATTAAAGCAGGTGAGAAAATTTGCTCTAAAGTTTAAAAAATAAATGAAACAAAAACAATAAATGTATAACAGTATTGCACAATTTTTATGTAAAAGGCAGGTTAACGGATTTTTTAACAATTTATTTACTAAGTCACAAAATGAACTTGTTTAATGTTAATATGCATAGCAAAATAAGTAATACTGCCTTATGTACATTGTAATAACATATGGTCGCATAGCTATGTGTTTTTAATCATTTAAAATATGCATAAAATTCACTTATACATATGCATGATGCGTAACTAAAATATAATTTAAAACTTTTAATAGATGCAAGTTGATCGAACCGAGACGTTATTGAATTTTAGCTGATTGTTATAGCAGCAATCAAGTAAAAACACATTTTTGTTTTTTGTTAAACTAAATGTGTAAATTTTTTGCAGTTCTTATTATGGAAAGTTGTTAATATAAGGAAACATTTGAATTTTAAAAAATCGTATTTAGCAAAACACATTTAAATGAAAACATGACATGAGAAAAGCTTTGACTTTGCTTTATAAAAAGTTGAAATGGTTAATTTATTAACGTGACATTCAAATTAGCAGCTTTGTTACGAGTATTAACAATTTTGTATTTTAATTTTTATACCCCACACCTTTCTGATGTGTATATTAACTTTGGTAACCACAGAGGGGAATCGTTTGCATATATGAGAATTTAGAGATATTTTTGTAAAGTTTTGCATTGATTTAGAACAGTTCATCCTTCCGATCGTATAATCATTAAAAAAAAAAGACGAACACCTTTGAGCTTTCAGAAATTGTTTTTTTTTTTTTGCCAAAAACGGTTGCTACTGTAATTGGACTAATTCGAGCGATGGATTTGGTTAGCTTCCTTAAACTCAAAAAGATGAACTTAAATATTATAATTGAATAAGTTTTGTAAACGTATGTGTTCCGTTACATATCATGCAAATTTTTGAAGTTTAATAAATGACTGTAGTCGTTCGAGTAGCTTCCGAACGACTCGAATACCCAATTTTTAAAATTTAGAAAACGAGTTAAACTAGCTGCAATATTTAATACTTTAAAAATTAGGTTTTATGAACAGAATGTTGTGGTGTAGGGTATAATTCAGGCGGTTAAGATCGACTAAAATGATTTTATTTATTATTTTTTTTTAAATATTTTTTTTAAAATTCAAATGCAGTTAAAATTTATTTTGAAATTGAAATTTGCATTGAAATATTAGTTTGTTGTGATATCTATAATTGATTGATAATAAAGAGCTGTTTCTATATAAAACTAATATTACGATTAATTTCTTTTTAGAGCGATCGCTTAAAACAATTCTCAACCACACAAAATAATTTGAAACTTGAAGTAATTTATGAATTACAAGATGATTGCTATTTAGTTTAACGTCAATATTCTACTGTGTTATTTTTTAATTAAAAACTTGTTGTTCTTGCAATTGCGTGATAACCGTGTACATACTAAAATTTAGTGATTACAAAACTGACAATATAATGATATAACATTGCTTCACACAATTAAGAAAGAGTAATTTAATTGCCTAATATTTTGAACCGATGTTTATTTTTTATTTTAAATTTTATACCCTACATTCGGTTTCGTAATATTGTATAATACACACCCTACAATTAAGACGCTTACCAGATGATAAATCATCAGATTCTTTTTCTTCATGAACTTCAGGGTTTTTATTAGAAGCACCTCTGTTTTTAGATACCCATTCAATATTCTGCTTCCTGCTATCGCTGTCATTAGGAATAATGCCCAAATTTCCCTTTTCGGTCATATTAGATCTTTCATTTAAATAATTTTTTTCTTTCTTAAAATTATTAAAATTTTTAATTTCATTGGTTCTATTTTTAACATTGTGATTATTATCTAAATTTTCATCATCCTTTTGCCAATCAAATTTAGTATCTCTACGATTACGATAAAAAAATTTGTTATGATAAACATTTATGCTATCTTGATGGCTTTTTTCAACGTTATTTTCATCAATTTCATCTTTATTGGATTTGAATAGAACAGAAATATTATCCTCAATTTTAGTTTCTCTGTAAATTTGGTAATTCTTCAAATTTTTAGAATTTCCTTTAATAGTTTTCGGTGTCACAATTAATGTTGAATTGATTTTTATACAAAACACTCTTGTGTCTATTAACAAAAATAAATATAAAACTTGTATTACGTAAAACATTTTTATAACAAAATCAAAAGCAAATCATAAAACATTCTATATTAAACGTTACTGGAATTAATATTAAAATTTTATTCTAATAAATTTGAGAATTAGCGAAAAAAAATTCCGATTTTAAATGTTTGTTTTAAGACGATTTTTTGAGAACTGATCGAGAATCAAACTAAATAGCATGAAAATTATTTCAGATTTGCTCCCACTTTAGTAAAAAATATTATTTTATTTTACTTGTAATTTATTTGAAAATTACATTTTAGGTAATAAAACATTAACATTAAAATAATAAAATGTTAAATAAATAAAAAATGTTGTATTTGAAATATTACATTTGTGTATATATACACAAACGAACACATGAATTTTGTATTGGAAGATTGAAATTAATCAATCGCTTATGCGAAACTACTTTTAAGCATAATTTAAATTTGTATAAATATACTACATAAGTTTTCTTAATAATTTAGTTTAAATTACATACATATATACATACATATAGGTAAGATAACTCACTTAAGTTTTACAATTAATAGTTGAAAGAGAATTTGAGCTTACGTTCATGAAACAAGTGTAAAATTTTAAGTTATTTGTATGACAACCAATTACTTGTATGTATGACAGCATTTGATTTGCAATCAATAACAGATTATGATCAGGAAAATCGAAATCAAGGAGTACAGCTTTTTTCAAGTTCTTAAATAAAGTTACTTAATATTTTAATTTAGGTATATGAAATTTAAAATATTTATTCTAAGCATTTCGTGAGAAGGAATTTCCTATAAAAAAATTCTTATATTTATTAATAAAATAAGAACTTACAAAATATTTTATTCTATTAGTTTTTCAAGGGACTTGGATGTGTGTCATGTGGGAATGCCTACTATTAGCATATTGCTCGGTGGCCGCATTGGGAGTAATCATTTCCTCTCTTTTGCTAACACACTGACTAAATAATTCTTATTGAATATTGTTACATATATGTATGTATGTATATATTAAATTTTAAATGAAATTTAAAAATACGAGTACTTACGTAATTATATTTGAGCGTTCGGGAACTGTTGTCTAATTCCCTTGTGAATATCTTCAGTTTTATACCTGGAACAGGGATATTATTGGCTTGAGAGTGAGAAGACTACAGTGAGTCATGAATGTCTGCATTGGCCCGGATATGCTCCACTCGGTTTCATTGGAATCTGTCAATCTACCATTCAACGAAATTACACTAATATCTTAGAAAAATCTGTCTTAAAAATTCTTTAATTAAGAAGTTTTCAATTACTGGTAGAATTCCAAAGAACTTTTTTTAATAAAATCTAATTTTCAGCTCTATTGAACAAAATTTGATTTCCACATATTTGAAAATGATATTCATGTAGTTCTGGGAATCTCTTCACATTACCTTATTGTTGCAATTTTAATAAAACCTTTCTTCTTATTTGAGATTTTTGGGATTTTGCGTCTTTTATTTATTCATATAATGTTCAATTAATTTAAAAATGTTATTTATTAAAAATTTTATATTTGTATATTTAGTCTATTTGACATAAGAAATTTGTATTGGATTTTTTTTAAAATAATAAAAAATCAAAATTGCTCAAAGTGTTTCTGGTGTATCAAAGTGCTTTTCAATTTAAGTTATTACTTATTACAACAGTATGCTTGTGTCAATCTTTATGAAATCAGGCATATTTGCAAATAATTGTACAGTTGGTTTTGTTTGATAAAATAATGAAAGGGTATGATGCCAAGATAATAAGGGAATGTTTGATTCGTATTTTTGGCGTAGAACTGAGCATGGCACAATATTTAATGTAATATTGAACTGGAATCAATTAAATATAGTAATAGTTTTCGGAAAGTTCAGGTTCCGAATCAGTTAGGTTTTTGAATTCGATATCCTGGCGTTCAAGAAACTCAGAAAAATAGTAAAAAGAAACAGACATAATTCAGTTAAACGAGTTTATAATACATTTGGTCTTAGTTGTATACCTAAGATACGCTTAATCAAGTTTTGTAAAAAGTCTCTTAATAATGGCGCTTGTGATAAATTCTTTTATTCGTCTTTGACTTATTAACTTTAAAATTCAGTTTATTTTTTTTGATATAATATTTGTATATCTGCAAAGACGTAAATAGACAACTTGAGAGTCATTTTCAGAAAAAAATCATTAATTTATTTGGCGACTTCGTTTCATCATTGCATTCAGTAAAATTATGCAACTCAAGTGTATAATTTAATTAAAAATTATAATAAAAGCATTAAATTTGGCATTATTGGTTTATGGTCTAAATTTTTGTTATAAGTATTGTTAAAAATTTTGTTTCAAATAATGAGATTTTTGATTTTAAAATTTTTACAACTTGAAATTTTTTGTTTTTATTGAATGAGTCTTTTTATTTTATTTTATTGTTGACAATTTTTTTTGTGGCTTATAATAAATATTTTATATGTTGAATATCGCGGATGCAATACGAAAACAATTTTAATTAATAATAAAATCTTCATAGTCATAATACAAAAAATATGTTGATTATTCAGAAAATTATTAAAATTTTGTTCAGATTTTTACAAGAAAATAATTGCTATAATTTGGAATTTTTTTGTGATTACAATTGGGTGTAGCAATAAATAAAGTTGGGTCAAACCAATGGTTTGTACTGTAGCACTTTTCCCTTCAACAAGTGAAAATTCTGCTTTTAAATACAGTCTATGTATAGCTATCACACTATTAAAATTATTTTCATTCATATACAAAACTATTTCTAGGATTGCATATATTTAGGATGACGCATATATGCAGTCTTTGAAATAAAGCAAAAATTAATATAAAAAGGGGTTAACATAATGCTCGATTTTAAGGGTTAATTGTGTGAGTTAAGAAAAATAATTATATTTTTTAATTTCACGGAATTTACCGTTAGCTTTTTGCGTTTATAAAAATTTGGAAAAGCTTGCGGTTTCGGAAATATAAGGTGTCAAAAATTCAAATTTTACGAATTTCAAGAGGTGATAACTTGAGAGGGGGTGGAGATGGAAAAAAATTTTCTTCTAACAAAATGAACTATTTATTAATATCTAAAAGCTGCTAAAATTTCAAGCTTCTACAGTCTGGGGTCTAGAAGAAAAACGACATCAAAAATTTGGAAAAAAAGGACTTTAAATAACGGTAAATTTGAATGGCCATTTTGTTTTTCTTAAGTTGAGCTATAGTATACCGCGCAAGGGGAAGCAAGCCACTGCCTTTCTGCGTTTGCAAAATTTCAAAAATGCTTATGGTTTCATTGCAACAAATATTTAAAAAAGGCCATTTTTAGGGTTTTGGGGGGGTATAACTTCTAGAGGGGGGGAGATAGGTAAAAATTTTGTTCTACGGAAATAAGTTTCTAGTGAAGATCTATGTACGTATTAAATTTCAGCTTTCTATCTTCAAAGGTGTAGAAGTTTTGTAAACAGACACACGGACAGACGGACGGACGGACGGACGGACGGACGGACGGACGCACGGACGGACGGACGGACGGACGGACAGAGTGAAACTAATAAGCACTTTTTTCAAAAATTTTTTTGGAAAAGTGCTAAAAAATTTTAAATTTTTAAAAAAAATTTGGAAAGACAATCATTTCAAAAGTAAAATCAAAGTGCTTTAATTAATTGCAGCTTATACGATGAAAATTTTCGTCGTTTATTGTTATAAGACGTGCGAAACGCATCCAGCGAAAATTAATGCAGTCAGAGTTGAATTGCATAGTTAAGAATTGCAATAATATGGCTATATTGAAATTTTCGACCCTACGTGAAGCAATATTCTCGACATATTTTCAAATGTTCGATATACTTAAAATATCATTTTGTAATTTACATTTTTACGTTTATTAATTGGTAATATTTCCGTTTCCTCTTCTGTTGTAAATTTACTCGTAGATGGTACATAGATAAATTTGACAAAAATAGAAATTTTATCCATATGCATTTTTCTTACTCAATATGGTATATTGGTTTTTTGCCGATCGCATTGCATGCAATAAGGGAGGTTATGTGATGTCACTAAAATTTTACATATTAAATTTTCGGTAAAAACCCATTTCTCTATAGTAGGAATGCGTAAAAAAGCTATTTTTAGAGAGATGTTTGTCTGTCAGTGTGTACGCGTGTATCTCAAGTTCGACTTAATGTACTTGAAATTTAATGTACAAACTCGAGGTGTTAAAATAATAAACCTGTATTTTTTTGGAAAAATCAGTATTCGAAACCCGAGCTAGGGGCCGATTTTATGTTTCTTATCATACGGATGGAATTTATTGAAATTTAACATTTGAGTTCTGGTTGTTACCGCAACTAACTAGCGAGCTCTTTAGAGAATTCGAATAGCACTAAGCGAAACTCTACTAAGAGACAAATTTACATTTTTCAAGGAATGTTTAGTAAAAGCTTACCAATATCCTAAATATTGTAAAGAACTGGTTAAAACGCATTTATATAGTATTCTGTTATACTTTCATTAAACTAGACAATATATAATGCGGTCGATTATGTGCCGACCACATCAGATTTTTTTTTTTTAAATAATCAAATAATTTATTTATTTTGCATAAACTTTATGTCTAAATCTTGTATGCTTGTGCTTTCACAATTTAAAAATAAAATATTTACTCAAATTACGCGTTTCAAATCTTAATCTAGTTATACATTAAGATTATTAATTTAATATAAAAATAAGTGTTTGAAATATTTTAATGTCAAACTATTGAAAGACTTTAACATTACAATATTGCTAAATTATTTAAACACGTTAACAGTTTTAATGATTCGTCTATCTGTGATCGCTATTTAAAGCATATTATAAATGTATGTACATATATCATTACGATATCAATTACTTGGACCCGCAAAATAACTAATTGAATTGATTGAAAAACACTTAATAATTTTTAATTTGAACATTTTTTATCGATCCGAAAACCATTAACTATAATTAGCTAACATTTATGTTTACTTTTTAATGTTTTCAATTTATTACAATTATAAAAATAATTAATAAAAATTTTATTTTCCATAGGATGTCTGTACCAGAATTTTTGCAAAGATTTACTGTGATATGGCTGGCACACATTGGTCCGGATGATTGGGCATTAGAGCCAGCATTACATTCTAGAGCACCATGGCGTGCAGCTTTAGCCATACGACACTGGCGTGCTGGATTTAATGCAGGTGGACCACATAAACATGTTGGTAAGAGATTTGAATCAAATAACTTTTGGATTAATATAAAAAAATATTTTTCATTTTATTTCATATATTCCCTTTTTGTTTTTTAGAAACAACTAGTACAAATCCACAATTTCGTATAAGAGTACCAGGTGGAAGTCCTGGAAAAGCTCATATTGTTGTTGCTGTTGCTCAAAAATATGAATGCTTTCGTATGCGTACTAATGAAATTGAACCTATTGGTTTTACTATATATGAAGTACCACCTGGCTTACCACGTGTCACACCGCAATATGTAAGTGAACAAATGCCACTTGATTTTGCTGAATTGCAAAATTTACGAGAAGTTGTAACATTTTTTGCATTACCACCTGGAGATTTTGTTGTTTTACCACATTCAATTCAACATCGTGAAGGAAAATTTTTATTAAGAATATTAGCTGATCAACATGCTGATGTTTGGGAAGTCAATGAAGATAATTTAGTATTGCATAATTTAGCGGCTGAGTTCAGCGATGAAAGAACCATGGATTATGTAAATTTATATTGAATTTGATATTTTAATATATTTAAACTAAATGAAAATTTTAAAAATTTTAGAAACTTTTATACAAATTGAGAACACGATTTCCACCGGAAATTGATGCAGCACAATTACAACAAATTTTAAAATCAAGTTATTGTGGTTTGACAAAATCTTTTGTCTCCTTTAATACAATTAATGGACCATCAATAGATTTATGTCGTGCTTTATTAGCTTTAAGAGATCCTGGACTTGGTGGACGTTTATCAATTGAAAGTGTTCCATCAATAATAGCATTGATAAAATTTTGGAAAGCTGCGTTTCGTCGCTGCAGTCCGAATGGTAATGGAACATTAACATTAACACGATCAATATGGAATACAAAAATTTCTTCATATTTATTAAGAGGTCTTTTATGGACTGGAGGAGCAACAGTTAGCAATAAAGTTTTAGAAGCTTTAGTTAGTCGTTTTACAAGAAATAGATATATAACATTGGAAGGATATTTAATGGCAATGACAAGACTACATTTAGCACATGGTATATTTTCTTGCTTTAATTTAATTTTTTAAAAAAATTGCTAAGTTTTCAAAGTAGGTTTATTTAAGAAGCACTTGAGGAAGTGGTTTAGTAACGCTCTTATCTTGTATAATAAATTTTTGTTACTTATTTTTAAATTGAATGCAAGTACAAGTATTAGAAAACTCTTAAAATGTCGACTCTTTTACTTTATTGTTAGCAGTTGAACATAATATGTACCTGATGGTCCTTCGATTCGTTTAATTTGTATGGTGTCCTATTCAAGTATATATTTATTTCGTTTTTATATTCGAATTTATTTTGGAGCACATAAGCTATTATTGAGCTACGTTAACGGATCTTTAAATTTTTAATAATTTATATCTACTTTTAATATATTTTACCAAAAATTATAGTGAGGGATAGGAGCTAAAACATTTGGCAATGTAACATTATTATTTCACTAATGAAATAGGGATGAAATTTGTAATTCTGAGAAATTTGTGATTCTGAGAATAGGGATGAAATTTGTAATTCTGAGAAAATAGATCAGATCTTAAGATCTATTGAACGCAAATCGACAACTTTTTTCTGAGAATTGCATAATTGGAATGCAAATTATTTAAATTTAAAAATATTCGATAATAAATGCAACAATAGCCTGCATTCAACCTGTAGTTCATTCTATTCGTACACAACAGTTAATTTTAAATTTTTTTTTATTTATTTTCAGAACGCTATCATTCTTTAGATGTAAAAGCCAAAGCTAATCCATTAACTCTCGAAGAAATGATTTTGATGACAATTTATTCGTGATATTTTGCAACAGCTTTCATACCGTTATACTTTCAATTACAATTTAAATTTTAAAATTATATTAAAACTTTGTAGTTTTTTTTTTATTTTTACATTAATTGAATTCGTTTAGCTACATGAAAAGCAACCTTCCAAATAAAATCAAAATCTAAAACCATATAAGTGAATTATAGAATTTTAAGTGAAAACTGAAGTCGTTTAAATTAAATATTGTATAAAATTATAAAAAAAAAAGTTGAACTAATATATTTATTATAAGCTTATTAATTACAATTAGCCAAAGAATTATTTAAAAAAAAAAGCAAAAATTATTAAAAAAAGACAAATATGTTTGTATTAAAAAAAATTATAAAAATTTTAATTGTTTATTAAATTTATTAAACTATTTAATTTTTGTTATATAAATAGCATTAAAAAATATTTAAAAATTCGCATATTTATTTATTTAATATTATAATTATATTTTAATTTTGTAATTCTGAAGAATTTATATGACCGCTACAATATAATATTGTCCAGTGTTAGAACAATGAAATTTTAATTGCCAAATGTATCATGAACAATTGATTAATTTTGCACTGTGAATCTTTTAAAAAATTACGCGAAATACAATTCTGACATAATGGTTTTTCTAAAAAAGAATTAAAAACTTTTTAATAAAAACCTAAAATTTAATATTTGTAAATGAAGACAACAATTTGTCTATTTTACTTGATTGTTTTCCAACTACTTCTGCCAATCATTTAATATCTCGCACAGAACTATGTCATTTCATAATTTATTTGGCTAAACATTTTAACACTGCTATTGACATTCAGTAACTCGAAATAATTATTTGTTCATAGTAATTTCATCGAATATAATTACAAAGTGAACCTTATTTCTCCATGCCTCATTCAATAACAAATTCAAAACATTTTGGTATAACTATAATGTAATACATAGCGGCGCCATGGTTGTGCTTTTAAACTTTGCGGTCCATCAAGTTTTAAATTATAATTTTCAATTTGGAATGTTGCAATACAAGTTGTTTGTTTATATATGAGGTCTAATTTAAGTTTTCTTTTCAATGACTCATATATGCAGGATGATCCAGTAAAAAGTACAATATTATATATTGTTTAGAACTTTAAAGATTGGTAAAATTTTTTTTAAGAATTAGTTGTAAAATCCTAATGGATTCCGAGTTACAGGGATTTTAACGAATTTTTAATTAACCAAGCTTTATTTGCTTATAACTTTCCTTCCGAAAAAGATAGACAGTTCATATAAACAGTTCTATAAGAGCTAGTAAATAACTTGGAAGTAACTAATTACTTGATTACGTATTTAATGTACTTTCGAAATTCCAAGCATTCGAACTTTAGCAAAACTCAAATATTTACCATTTAATTTTTGAAATTTTTAGAAACTTTAAAATCGTTTTTTACAAAATTTTGGCCAGTAAAAACGTTAAAAAACTTTTTTATGGAACAAGGAATATAGCACAAAAACTGTTTCTGCTTCGAAATTTTAAAGGCTCTTAAAGTACTACTCTAGTTGTTACTACTCTTACTAGTAAAATTTAGAAACTCAAAAAACTGCCAATACTTTTGATTTTTACTGATTTTTGTTGTTTTAATTATCAACTATTGTTAATTTTTGATCGCAATAACCACTCTGAAAAACAGTTGACATTTTTAAGAACCGTTATTTTGATATATAATATTGTACTATTTATACTGTATATGGCCCCGTTTGTTTATATACATATAAAAGTCACAATGTTGAAGAATAATTCTAACCTAGTTCATGAAGTTTATTTTATAAATTATGGAATTTTATTAAAATATTCAACCACAAAATTAATTAAATGAACAAAAAGACTAAATTATTAATAACGCAGTGTTTATTCTCCAATATTATTTTCAATTTAATAATGATCCCAAAAATGATTGCAAGAAAACTTGATGGAGCACAGAATGACGGCCCAATAATTATTTTTTTGCAGAGGGTAACACACTTTCTTCTATAATTTCGAAATTTAATTTGAAAATTCTAAATTACAAAATTAAATTTTAATTTTTTCGACAAATATTTAAATTTTGTATACATACTTATATCTACATATATATATATATATATATATATATATATATATATATATCTGTCTGTATTTGCGTATGTATATAAAAATTATCCTAAAAAAATCCTATGTGAATTTACATAGAATTTTTTTTTAATTTTTTTTTTTATTTTTGAGTAAAATCTAGTGTTTTTTTTTCTATTATAAATTTTTTTTTTAAATTTATTATAATTTACTATACATAGGGTAATTATTTGTTTTAATTAATTTAAATGCAATAATTGAAAAAATTTAATTTTTTTGTAGTTCATCTTTTATTATTATTTATTGAAATAGGAAAAATTTTAAAATAATTGTGTATAAAGAAAATAAAAGAAAGACTTTAGATTTTAAGGTGAAATTATTTAATTTAATATATTTGTTAAAATAATATTTAGCATATTTAAAAAAAAATTAAAAAAAAAAAGAAAATAAAATTATATTTATTATGTTTAAATCATGTGTTAGTTTTGGTCCTTTATACTATAAGCAAATTAATCTTTGGGTCAGATACAATGAAACAGTTATTATTGTTCTCATGAATGCACAATTGTGGAACTGAAATTATAAATTGTGTCACCATACGTTTAGTTTCAATGCACAGTTAAGTTTAATTATTAAGTTGTCAATTGAATAGTTCAAATAATTTCCCCGCAAAATTTAATAAGTTGGTATTTCGATTATTTCGGTTATGTTTTTTATATTCCATGCTTTTTTTCATATATTTAGTACTGAAATATCTACAATTAGAATAATTTTTAAATAAATATTTTGTCAGAATACTTATATGATTATACAGGGTGTTTCGCATAAGGCGACAAACAATTTAAACGGGGGGAGGGGGAGGATGTGCAGATAGAGAAGTTATAGCATTTATTTATATGCGGACTTTTCCTGCATATAAAGACGTGCTTATAACTTCGAAACCATACAACATTAGAGATATTAGGAGATTGTTTTACAGCCGATTGATTGTTCTTTATTTTATGATTAATTTGATTTGAGCCATAGTTTTCGAGATACAGCTCAGAATTTTTGTTGTTTTTTTCGAAATTTTTTTTTAGAAAACTCGAAATTTCTCGAAAATTTTAATTATTTTTTTTTTGCTTTTTTAAAGCTATAAAATATTGGATGACTCTGTAAAATGAGTGCAATATTTCATGCTACGCTATTTTAGATATTTGAAAATATGTTGAACTTTTGTTTTATGATAAGTGTCAAACCTCAATATTAATCCGAGTAACATAATCTCCGTCCAACAACAAACGGGCCCTTAGGCCTCTAAAAGGTCTTAAAGAGTTTTTCTTTAAAGTCCTGTGTCTTTAAATTTAAAGTCTTTAAGTCCTGTGGGAAATTTATTAAAAGATCAGAATTTTTTTTTCATTGATTTCTTCCGGTTATTTTAAATTAGGCCTTTGCGATTCAGGAATTAAGGTAGGAAAATCATTTCTATTTAAAATTTCAAATTTCTGGAATTTATTTCAATCTCGAAGTATAAACTTTTATTTGCATTTTTCCTACATTTCAAATTTTTTGTTAGTGAGATTTTAATTAAATATTTATTATAAGTAAATTTATTATTTAATTTAACTTAATCTAAAACTTTCTCTAAATCGGTGATGCTTGGTTTATTCTGAAATGGGTTTGAATAGCAAATTTCAATTTATTCAAAAACTTGCCTGCCACAATTATTCTGAAATTATTTGATAATATTTTTGAGATTTTGGACTATTGTTATGTATAACCAATTTAATGCCGATTTTCTAAAATTAAAAGATAAAAATGTTTTTTTTTTTTAAGATATCAAAACTCATTTTACCATGTAATATGCGAGAAACTCTGGCATCACTATTGAAGTTTAACACAGTTGCCGTATTTTCAGTAGAAGTTTTAAAATTTTGGTTTCTTGAAGGAACCCTTTGAATATTACTTCTAATAGGTAAACGAGGTAATTTGAAAACTGGACGTTTTGTATTGTCATTAACAATTTTTGGAGCCTCTTCGACAGTTGCAATATATTCTTCTTCATCAACAGCAATTCGATGGTCCAAGTCATTAATATTTGGAGCTGTACTGGTTTCTGATGTCGACTTATGTCGTTGTTTCTCTTTCAAGCCATCATTTGATTCATCTCGTTTTTTTATACTATGTTGATTCGATGTAGTGTTTTCTTGAGTTTTTGGATTTATATGAATTGATATGCGTGTTAAATTTTCATCATCTAAATTATTTGTTGAATTATTTGGCATTTCTTCAGTTGAATTGGATTCAATGTATTCTTCTTCATCAACTGCTATTCTATACATTTTGTCATTGAAAGAATGAGTTCCATTTGATTGTAAAGCATCATTATAATTGAATTTTATACTTTCATTGTCAGTTGAATTTTTTAAATTTTCATTATCACTTAAAGAATCTTTTACCGTATAATTATGGAATTCTTCTTCATCAACAACGATTCTATATTTAGGATCGTTTATGTTTAAAACTTTATTGGTGTCTTCAGTGAAATTATTATGTATCGGGCTAATTTCAGTGTTAGTTTCTTTTGGAACTTCTTTAATTTCCTCACTTGCCTCAATAATTCGTTTACTTAAACTATTATTTCCAATGGTAATATTTTTGGTCTCCTTTTCAATTTCTTTAGGCATATGTTCTTCAATATCAGTAATAATTCGTTTTATTTGATCATGTATATAATCTAATCTTAATTCGACTCGATATTCAGATTCATTTTTCAGACTAGCTTCATCAGTTTTATTGGTATCATCTTTACTACAATTGTACATTAAATCACTCAAAATTTCCATTGGGTTGTGGACAACGTTTTTATTTTTATTAGAATGGCATTCTTTATTACCATTTTCACAACTATGTTCATGCACTTTGTAATTCTCGTGTGGTACATGATCGTTTACAATTTTTTGATTCGAATCGCTGTCTGGATTTATAGAATCATTTCTGGTTTTTGTTTCGTTTCTAAATCGATCATTCTCGCAAATTAAAAATGCAAGTTTTCTGATAAAATCAATATCTATGATCTCATTTGCAAAATTTGCTGATGTTTCATTATGTTTGTTATGATCTTTGTGTTCCTTGTGCTCGGTATGCTGCTCATTTGGTATTAAAATTTCTAAAATTAAAAATTTATGTTTTTTGTTCATATGAAGAAAGCTCTTATTTTTTTATTTACCCTTTTCTGTTGCCACTTTAACTTCCATTTCTAAGTTACCATTAGCAGTTGTCGCAATTGGCGTGGATGAAATATATTTTTCTAGAACAAATAAAACAAATCATTGAAATTTTGGGGTAGATAAAGAAAATTTAAGAATAAATTTTATTTTAATTTGTTGAAATGCATTTAACTACTAAATCTACTGATCAGTCCCAACAATTCAGTTAAAAGACCATACTCTAAATATCACCAAATTTAAATAATTTAGTTGAAAAGTATCAATAGCTACAAAAGAGTTTTCCGGTTAATTTTGTATTGAACACGCAATTTTCGCCTTCAAAATAATAAATATATAATAAAGCTTACGATAATAAAATAGCAAAAACACTGAGATTGAAAAAAAAAAACAAATTTCCGGATTGGTGTTGAAAAGCGCTCAATGTGCAAATATTATTTTCATGCGTGAAATTCCAATGAAAACTACTTTAAATATATTTTCTTTGAATGAAAATTAATAACTTGTACTTGTATTTTAACGTACATAAATTAAATGAAGTTTAACTGGGTTATAAATTATTGTTGGAAGAATATTGTAATCAATTATTTATGTAACGAAGATGAAATCTAAAACACTTGATGTCCTTGACAAAATATTAAAAGTCTTGTTATTTTTATTGCAAAATCACTCAAGGATAACGCATAAAATCAAATATAAGGTACAATTTATGAACGCTTAATAAAATCTAGCATAATTAAACCCGATTTAGGTGTGAATTTTTCTCCAATTCCAATTTTTCTAAATCATAATTAAGAAGAGGCCTCCATAATTCCACAATATTATGAGAACATTTGAAATTATTTTTATGATTTAATTCAATTTTTTGAATTTCGTTTCATTATTAAATTTTTCAATTTATTTCCTTACCTGTTTCCGCTGTATGGATTTCAGTTTGATTTTCCGGCACTTTTATTAATTCTTTTGGTTTTTTCATCGGAACTTTCATTATATTATGTTCAGTTTTTGAATCATGTTGTGTTGCTAGTTTATCCTTTAAACTATCTTCAATTTCATGATCAGTTTCAATATTTCTTCTAGCTCTATAATTCTTGTGTAGCATCTTAAATGTCAAAATTTTGGAGTTGCAAATTTCAAAGGTATTTTAAAATATTTTATCAAAATTTAAAACTTACATTCTGAAAACTTTTGTATTCACTTAAATGATCAATATCATCTTGTTGGTATAGTTTCATGTTATAGTCTTCGATTTCAACTGGTAAGGAGCTAACATTAAATATGAGAATCGTTATATGAATTAAAAATGCTTGCAACAATCGCTTAGTATTATGATTTGAAATACACATTTTTAAAATACTCAATTTTTAATATTTTTATTTCCGATTTACAATGTTATCTTATCGACAGTAAAAATAGAACTATCTAAGAATTAAATCTAACTGTAAAATAAATTTTTTTGTATGTTTTCATTATTTTATTTCTATATTTTTAATTATTGTCATTAATATTTTGTGTGTAAAGAAAGCTTACACCTGAAATATGCATTTTATTAAAGATATAGAATAAAAATTATGATTCCGAATCCATGTACAGTACAATAATTTTCAACTTTGAATTAGATTTCAAAGCTTGCTTCAGTATCGCAATAGAAAATCATTTTTTTTTCTGGGAAAATTTTCATAATAAAAAATGCAATGTAATGTCTAAATTTTAATTGTAAACCGTGTTCAGTTCCATCAACTAAGAACTGTAATTGTTACTGTAATAGAAAAAGGGCTGTTCACCACCATAATGCGAGCATTATACGTATTATATGACCACATCTTTTTAAAAGAATAAAATTTCAATTGCAGCGATACGAGAATCTGCTTGATAACTGAAAGGAATCACTTGCAGACTTAGATATCTCTAAAGCATATTTTAAAATTTTATTCCTAATTTTACTTAGTTATTAGACTTTTATTAGTTCACATTACATTTAAAGCTCAATTTATCAAGTTTCAAATATTTAGGAATATTATTTTGGAAAACAAATATCCTAAAAATATGCAAAATAAATTATGTTAAAATTTTCCATATATACAATATCATTAGAGTCTTATTGAAAACTTCTATGTTTCATTCAATCAATAATTTCCCCGCTAACTTCCCATTTCCATTTTAAGTTTGAACACTAAGATGCCGGATATATAGCAAAGAATAATATTTTACTTAGATGTTAATGCATTTTCTTCCCGAATCTCGTATTAATAACAGGAATATTGAAGTACATAATATTTTTACAACATTCGTGTTTTTAAAACAAAAAGGATTGAAATAGTTTGAGTAATTTTTAAGCGTTTATAAAAATATCATTTATGTATATTGTATTGTGAATAATTTTATAACTGTGTTGTAAGTTTGAGAAATTCTGTTTATTGTATATAAATTTTTTTAGCTAATCCACAAACCAATACTTTAAGAGAAATATTTTGAATACAAACTTATGTTGTATAAAGTACTTATGTAAAAATTCACAATAGTTAAAAGAAGAATATTGTACTAAAATGAAAAAGATGAAGAAAATGGTAGGTATGCTATGCAAGGGTATAATAAATAAAGTACTCAATAAATAATATAAGTAATTACAAGAAAAGAAGAAGTGTGGATGTGTTATTATCTATGTTATTATCTATGTGTCTACTAAGTAATACGAAAAATTTAATAATTTCCGTAACATACTCGTATATAAGTTCTAAAGTCTCATTGTGATTTTCACAAAAAATAATGGTTTAATAGTCCTCATTTCTTATACATAGGTCTATTTGGTTTTTTTTTTCAAAAGTTTAATAAAAAAAAATTTTAGTTAATAAGGAACATCAAGCGATAATATTTTCGTTTTCTCTCATATAATCCTCATTTCAATAATTTAATTTTCTCTCAGTAATTCTCTCATTTTCAAAAAAATAAGTACTAGAACCAATGCAGTCGTTTTATAATATTTTGTTGCAGTGAAAATGCAGTTGAAATTGCAATAGATTTAATTGGAAGAACAGCTTTCAAAATATTGTTACTATAGACAAATTTTTTGTTCCCTTCCATTTTTTAAATTCATAACAATTACATATTTAGTATAACAGCAAAGTAACAATAATAAGGCGTTATATATTTGGCAAGTGTAACTCACTCTTTTATATGATGTTGATAATTATGATAATAATGATAATATGAAAATATTGGAAGTAAAATCAATTTGTCCATTGTTAAGAAGCACTGAAAGTGGAATCAAATCGTAATGTTACAGAAAATGATTTTAAATTGTAGCAGAAAAGGTTGCAGTAAGAACATCAGCATTCGATCAGCATCTTAGTTTCTTTAAATTTTGAAAATTGATGGAAATGAGTTGAAAGATTGAGCTTGGAAATATTTCTGCAAACAAATTATTGTATGTATAAATATGTGTATATTGCCATAATTTACATTCGTCTTAATTGAATCACATTATATTAATAAAATAGCAAATCAAACAGGAACGCTATACCCATTTATTTAATAAAAGTAAAAGAAGATTATACGATGTCACATAAAACCTATCCAATCGCACTTAATATTATACCATTACTTATAATATTTACGAAACTATAAGAATAAGGATGTAAATAGTTAGTTTTCAAAATTTACGTCCTAAAACTTTAAAAAACAAATAATAAAAATACGGTACATTCAAAGAAAACTTGCATACATGTACATACAGTGCCGGATCTATTATACATGTAAAGTAAACATTTGCAAAGGGCGCCATTGAAAATATGAAATTTTTTTTCAACTTTTTATTCTTTCTATTTACAGCGACATTAAATTGTCAACATGCTAATATCGTCATCCAACCTTTAATCCTATAACTAATCTTACATTTAGCATGGTAAAATTACATATTACAAAAAGTGATCAAAGTTTACTGTATATTTTTCATTGCTTTGAAAGCAAAGGATGGTGCGATGTGATTTTGGAAACTATTTAGGGCACCGAACCAGTCCGAACCGAGCCTGTTACCGCAAGGATTTATTTTTTAAAAAGATAACGTTTATAACATGGTCACCGTGATTTTTATGGAATTTTTTACGATATTTAAGTTTTTTTTTTAAATAGATTTCCTTGACATAAAAATGAAATGAAATTTTTTATGTAATTTTTTGTTGTTTTTTTATTTGTTTCACTTTCTATTATAAATTTTATTTTTTTTTTGTTTATTCCGTCTTTTATATTTTGTTTTTTTTTTTTTAAATTTATTTTTACAACTAATTTAATATTTTTTGTGGCTTGTTTTTTTTATTTTTGTTTAATTATATAATTTAATAATTATTACAATTTATTTATTATATATGTATGTATATAATATGTGTATACTGTAGATATTGTTATAATTAGGTATATATATATATTACATATATATACATTTATGTCTGCACATATTTTATGTGTATATATATGTATATATTCCGTTTATTTAATTAAAAGCTATTTTAAAAATTATAAATACATTTTTATTTACATTGTGTGATTTTTTCTTTTTTTCGGTAATTTTATATTTTAAAAAATTTTTATTTTAATTCAAGGCACATTTAAAGTTTTTTTTTTTATCATCGTTTTTCAATTCAATACTCTTATATAGTTTTAAATAGAAATCATATATGTATAAGATATTGTGTTTTTAAAATTATTATTTTAGTAAAAAAAAAAGAGAAATTATATACCATAATTTAAAAAATTATTTATTAATTTTTTCTAGTAATAGGTATTCAATGTAATTTGTATGTGATTAAAAAAAGGAAATTATTTCGTGTCATCCTAAACATATGCAATTTTTTAGTTTGTAGTTAACAAGGAAAAATATTCACAATCTTAACATGGAATTTTAATCAAATGCAAAAGGACTATAAAATTTATACATTAAATATTGTTGTAAGTTATAATTTAAAATTTGTATTAGATTATAAAATTAATTAATTATTTATTTATAGATTATGTATACGTTGGTTTAAAAGAGATGAGAAAACTATATAGATTTATTTTCCCAATAATTAATTAATTTATGATAAATAGATGCAAAAGCATATTTAATTAAATTTAATATGGTTTTTCTGAAAAAAGAGACAATAATTTTTATTATAATTGGATTTTATGACCAACAAAAAAATTCTAAAGATTTTTTTTTTTTAATTGGTTCATAATTTAAAATAATTAGAATAAAAACAATTTTAATTAAAAATTTGTAATTATTGCATATTATCGAAAATTATTTTGACTTTTTTTTTATTTCACTACTATTTTAAGGCAATTAGATCCATATTGAACGTTTAATTAAAGAAAATATTTAAATTTATTGAAAATTTGCAAAAAGAATTAAATTTTAAAATTTAATTATCACATAATTAATATAAAAGTAGTATAGATAGAATTTTAGTCGATAATAATAAGGGGATTTTCGTTTATTCAGTTCTAGGATAGTTCCAACTTGAAGTACGTTTCAAAAAAACACGCTACATATACTGAAAATATTCGGAAATTACTGGCTGCAATAAAGTGCGTTCGGAAATTCAATTAGCAATAAAAAAATTTTAGAAATGTAGCGCAAATCTCTAGTACAAATTTTGTCGCTGCCTCATGAAATTTCTTTTTTGCATACTGTTTAACACTTAGACTTAGAAATTTTAGTTCTAATGTAAAATTTTTAGCGTAGCGTGCATAAACGAAAACCCCCCAAAATATACAATTTTTAAAAGTGAGAAAATTTTTAAACTTTTAAAAGTGAGAAAGTGAAGAAATATTTTAAGAAGAAAATGTGTAAATACTGAGAAAATTTATTAAAATACAACAAGGATCTCAATCGATGTAGATAATATTAAAGGTTTGACTAAAGAAATTTTTTATCTGATATTTATTAAATAAGTTAAAATAACAACATTTTTAGTAAATTAATTAAAATCATAATATTTTGGAAGTGTTAACAAATTTAAACTACAATTGTATAAATAAACGAGAAACTAATAATTTTCAATTTATTTGAAGGCAATATTGTCACTCTAAACATTTATTTCTTAAAATTAAAAAAATATATGTAAAACGATAATTAAAACGATAAGTCTTGGCTCTAGTCCTTAGATATGCAATATCAATAAGCAATGTTGTAATGTTCTATTATTTTGACTTTTTATTGATATTTCGTCGACAATACGGAATGAAGGGCAATTAAAGAACAAAATTAACGAAAATTTTCTCTTATTATTTAAATTTAAGGTTTCTTTCATGTATATAGAAAGTTGAATTTCGTGTGTAATAATATTTAAAAAAATAGTGCCAAAAATAAGTAATTCTAGAAGTTTCCTGACACTTTTAACATAACAGAACCTTTAGAAAGTGAA